TCTGCCACCATCACATTTCTTATTAATGTGTGCAAAAAAACTCTTTACCTCTGGTTAGGAACCGATGTCTTTTTCCAGTAGCTGTAGCACTGTGACATTCAACAGACAAGCCTATAAGCTAAAATTTTAGATTTCCCCCACTTTTGGATGTATAATTCCAGCTGAAAATGATCCCAATATATTTCCTGATGTGCAGAAGCCATGGCAAACAATCTTCACACATCCACCAAGATTATGCTTTACCAGAGCAAATAGGGTGGCATACTGTTTCTCAGATTTTCAGAAGCCATCTTGATACCAGTGCATAAAAAACTGCACTTGGGGGCTGGAGATATGGTTCAGAGGTTAAGAGCATCCATTGCTCTTCCAGGAGTCCTGAGTTTAATTCCCAGCAACCACTTGGTGGCTCACAACCATCGACAGCTCAATCTGGTGCCCTCTTCTGGCATGTAGGCCGAACACTGTATATGTAATAAATAAATTAAAAAAAAAAGAACTGCACTTAATTATGCTCTCTTAAACCTTCTTAAAAACTGCCAAAAAGGCATTCAACCCTTAAACCACTTTCTTTTTTTTCCATTTCTACTTTCTCCCTCTCCCCATTTTTAAATTTAAATTAGAAACAAGCTTCTTTTACATTTCAATCCCAATTCCCTCTCCCTCCTCTCTTCCCCTGTCCCCCACCAACCCCCTATCCTAACCCCTTTCTGCTCCCCAGGGAGAGTGAGGCCTTCCATGGGGGATGTTCAAAATCTGTCATACCATTTAGAGCAGGGCCTAGACCTTCCCCCATGTGTCTAGGCTGGGAGAGTATCCCTCTATGTGGAGTGGGCTCCCAAAGTCCATTCATATACTAGGGATAAATACTGATCCACTACCAGAGGCCCCATAGGTTAACCAGATCTCCAAACTGACATCCCCATTCAGGGAGTCTGGAACAGTCATATGCTGGTTTCCCAGCTATCAGTCTGGGGTCCATGAGCAACCCTTTGTTCAGGTCAGCTGTTTCTGTGGGTTTCTCCAACCTGGTCTTAACCCCTTTTCTCATCACTCCTCCCTCTTCAACTGGATTCCAAGATTTAGCTCAGTGGTTAGCTGTGGGTGTCTGCTTCTGCTTCCATCAGCTACTGGATAAAGGCTCTAGGATGGCATATAAGGTAGTCATCAGTCTCATTATTGGGGAAGGGCATTTAAGGTAGCCTCTCGACTATTGCTTAGATTATTAGTTGGGGTCCTCTTAAACCACTTTTTAATTATCATACACCAAGGATTAAACCCAGTAAATGACTAGGGCTATTTGTGTTTAGCAAAAACATGAAATGTATGTGTGTTCCCACAGTAAAGACTGACTGCTCAACCTGACCCATTTTTTCAGATTGGCTCATGCGCTAGCATTAAAAATATTTTTCGCAGATATGAATATGACAGGCATGTTTCCTGATTTTAGGTAAGTCAACCACTAATGGAAAATATAGTATTAAAAAACCATTACGTAAAACACAAATTACGAATACTAGAAAAGTGTGAAGAAAACAAACACCCAGGAATACTGTAGAAACATTATATTAGAAGGTAGGTAATTTTGGTTTTTTGTCTCAAATACCAAAAATTTCATATGCTAACACGACTACATCAATTTTCTTCCACGTATTTGTCTGTGTACCTATGTGTGTGACTATCCATTACCCAAATAGGAAATAAAAACGAAATCTGAGAGTGGTGACCCATTCCTATAATCCTAACACTGGGTAGCTAGAATCCAGAAGATCTGGAGATTAAAGCCATCCTTGACTACATATGGAGTTTGAGGCCAGCTTAGGGATGCATAAGACCTTGACTCAAAAAAAAAAGTTGTAATAGAAAGAAAAAAGCACTAAAATATATGTTCTTCATAAATTTACCCAACTAAAATAACACTTCCCTTGAGTAAAGTGGGTTTGGGAAGGATTCATGAAGCTTTCTCTAAAGAAAGGAAACATTGTTCCACTGACAGTCTTGGAGGAGAACTTACAGTTGGTTGGATATTATATGGAATTAGAAGCTGGAGAGTCTGAGAAAATGAAGAGGCACTTTGTGTCCCAAAGCAGTAAAGCAGATTTAAACATGGAGGATTCCTTCACTTTTTCCAGCAATGTTTGGACCATATTCAGATGGCTGAAGCCTTTAACATATGACAAGCATTTAGCATATTAATTAAAATATAAGCCTGTATAAACATGAAACATTTTGAAAAACTAAAAGAGAGTTGATTATAACTTAGTAAATTTTTAAAAATCAGAAAAGCAGTAACCTATCAAATTCTGACATAATTGAATTTCATATGAATGCATATATACTACTTGGGCAGAAAACTCATTGAACAGGGTCATCTGGTTTTCTGGAACTACTGGGAATATTCTGATAATCATATCTGTCTGTCTTTCCTTTTCTGAATGTTCCTGGAGCAGTGTATGTTTGTCCCTTTGGTTTTTTTACTGTATTTAATTTATTTATGTTTGGACTATTTTAAATTATGCCCATAAGTTGCCAAAATCTTTATTTTGGAAAGGCTTTGCCACAAAATCTGAGTATAAGGGGCTATTTTTAAGTGTGGATGAAGAAAAGATGAGATAGAGGGATTTGATGAAATCTTTTTAGAAGCTATTATTATGCGCATGTCGATTAAAGGAACCTAATCCTGTTGAAAGTTTTCTTTGAAGGTGGTGCCAGAAAGGAATTTATTTTTCTTTGTAGTAATGCTAGGACTTAAAATAACTTACCTAGTAATTAGTTACTTCATGGGAAAGAAAAGTCTCACTAGTGTTTGTGTTACTAGAGACGAAGGCAAAGATGCCAAGATGTGGTAGACCAGTTCTCTTCATCAGTCAGCAGTGGTAGATATTTATCTGCTTCTCCTTGATCACTCCGTGTGCATCTGGATGAGGCCAAGGCTTTATGCCAAGTGTACAGACCTGATTCTTGTTAGCCAGAAAAACCACATTGCTTGCAGCTATTGCTTCTGGCTTGCTGACCCTCACTCCATAGCTCACTTTGAACAGTGATAGATCAATACAAATTTCTTGCTGCTAAACGTGACTACAATGCACCTAGGTGTAAGATTTCTGCTTTCCTTTCAGAGCACAATGAGATGAATATGTTTTCTCTAACTCTCTGACTCTAATTTTCTTTAACATTTTAATTTCATGAGGCCTTCAATACTGACATCAAGATCAAATGAAAGGTTAAGAGCTGCAAGATTTTTTTATTCACTTCTCTATCCTTGTAAAGGAGAGCACCATGGACACAAGGGTTTTTGAATCACTTCTTTATCTTTGTAAAGGAAGATACCATGATTAAAAGGACTTTTCATATAAGAAGTAAGCTTTTGTTGTATTACCAGCATTTGGAAATATCTACATGGTATTCAATTTCTGTCTTCCCATCCAACACTGGCTGCTTTTGCCATCTAACAGCAAGACCTTGATGTTTCCTACAGGATTCTTGATGACTGCTTCTATTTTCCCTGAATTGCCTATTGTAAAATAATGTAGGCAACTGTCTCATATTGTATTAATGAAGGAAGGAACTTCTCCCGCTGGGTCCAAGTCAGTCTCCTGTCACCTAATATTATGTTAAGAAGGCCTTCTTGTCTATTTCTAAAAGGTTGGATCTAAGGCATACTGCCTTGAGAATATTTCCACTTGATGACAGGTGAAACTAAACCAAATATCTTTGTCTTGACAGTGTTAACCTACATATACTTAAATTTTTCCATTGACAAGATAAAGTGTTGTGTACCAACTCTACAAGTTCTGTGGTTGTGTGCATTTTAATGCAGTGGTATGCAACAATTCCAGAAGGTATACTGCTATAAAATGACTTTTGATATGAGTAATGCTTTTTCAACTGTGTTAGACTCAGTTGTGTACTTTGAAAAACACAGGTAATTACTCTGCCATGGAGTAATTTTTTCTTTTGTGGTTGTGGATAAATGCATAAAAATATATTTGATAGTGTAAGTGTAAAATCCAACATGAAGTTCCACTGAGTGATGTCTTCGTTTGTCTGTACTGGATAATAAAGTTTGAAATATGTATATATGTATGTATATATACGTGTGTGGGGTGTGTGTGTGTGAATTACTCATCCCAGAGTTTCCCCAGATTCAGTCAGTATGGAAAACTGATACTATTTAAAAGTCTCTCATTTCTTGTTTTTAGTTTTTTAGAGGCAGAATTGCTCCTTTTAAAAAGATTTGTTTTTGTTTTATGTGTATGAGTGTTTTGTCTCCCTATGTGCCTATGCACCACACATGTAGTAACAACAGAGGCTGGAAGAGGGCAAAGGATCCTCTAGACCTAGAGTTACAGATGGTTGTGAGCTGCATGTGGTTGCTATGAATTGAACCGGGGCCCTCTGGAAGAACTGCTGGGGCTCTTAACTAACAGTGGAGCCATCTTTCCGGCCTAGATATGCCATACTTTATAAATAGTTTTCATTTATTTATTTTTGAGACAGAGTTTTTCTGTAGATTTGAAACCTGTTCTAGATCTTGCTCTGTAGACTAGGCTGGCCTTGAACTCACTAAGATCTGCCTGTCTCTTCCTTCTGAGTGCTGAGATTAAAGGCCTGAGCTGCCACCACCCATCCAGTTTTTCTGTTTATTTTTTGGTTCGTTCGTTTGTTTTGTTTTTGGTAAATGGTTTTTGAATCCATAAGATATTCAGTTACTTCCCCTCAGAATGCTTTTTCTGAAAACACAAGAAAATAAGATAATGGCCTCTGGTTGTGCTAACACAAATATCCTGGTGCTTAGTTTTTTTTTTCATCAAAGTCATAAAGTGCTAGGTTATACTAGGAAAAGCCAGCAAAAGCAATCTATGTAATGTGTCAAATGTTGGGAACTGTCAATCCCTACCTTTGCCTGTGGTTGCCCAAGAATTTATACCAGTTAGGACAAATTAGGTTGTAACTGCAGAAATATTCTCCAAATCTTAACAGTTTAACACAGCAACACTTACATACTAGATGTGCAGGGCTGGACTGTAGTTGTGTTCCATGTTTTCTCAGGGTCTCAGACTGAGAGAGCAGCCTTTGTCTATACCATTGTTGGCTACTGCAGCAGAGGGGCAGAAAAGGCATTACAGTCAGGCTCTTTGTGTGTCTGGCTGTTGCAATTGCACAACTGTGCCTGAATTCATGGGTTATGTGTCTAATGCTGTCATGGGGAAAGATGCCAAATATCTGAGAGAGTGCGGCCCATGATTCTCTAGAAATAAATAGTGAAGATGTTAGACTTCAGAAGACACACAGTACCTACCATGCTGTAGACCCCGTCTGACACTGGGAATGTGGCAGTACATGGAAAAACTCAAACTCTATAAACTCTTGGGGCTCTCATTGAACCAATTAAAGTGTGTTGGGGGAGGGATAAATACTTTTCCTTGAAGAAAAACAAAACAGATCGGAGTTGGGACTTTAATTCAGACAGGATGGGCAGAGAAGTGTCTTGGGAGGAGTACAGATTTTTAAAAAGAGACAGGAAGTCCTTCCTAGTTGGGGTGTGTGTATGGGGGTGTGTGCTTTGAGACAGAAGAGCAACTGGTCTGAAGTAAAGACAGGACATGCAGTATATCCCAAAAGTCTAGAAGGAAATGAAGCAGAAGGTATGACCAAGAAGCTTATGAGTTAGTACTCTCCAGACCACCAGAAAAGCATTGAATTTTCTTGTAAATATACAAGAAACAATAAGAAGAATTTTAACAAGAAAGGGCATGATCATAATTTCATTTTCAGGAAATCTTTCCATCCTGGGGCTTGAATACAGACCTTTTTAGAACAGAAGACTGGAGAATGACCAGCCAGGAGGACACTGTTATAGGTCATTGAAGAGAAAGGTACCAGGGACTTGTACCGAGAGGAAGGAGTAAATTTGGCAAGCAGTAGTCTTTTAGACAGAGAACTGGCTGAATTTCCTGGTGGGTTGTGAGATTTATAAGACTAGACATGATCTGCTAGCATACTGGCAGAAAAATTGGGTTGATGAAAAGAAAGTTTGCTTACTAAGTTGAGAATACAGGATAGCTGAGGGAGTGTCTCAGGTTACCTTCTGGACGAATTAAGGTAAGATGCTTGCTTTATGCCTGAGGTTGGTCATATGTATCTGGAGATTAGGAGAGATCACGGATGAAGTAGTTACCAGGAAGTCGGAGGTTCAACCAATCGCCTCTGGTCTCGTGCCTGCCCCTCCCCTGCCCACTGTCATCACCAAGGAAACCAGAAGCGATAACCCGCCACCAAAGCTGGATTCATGGCTGACGCTAAAAAAGCGGTTTTGGGGCCGTTGGTAGCGGCCGTGGACCAAGGTACCAGCTCAACACGTTTTTTGGTTTTCAATCCCAAAACAGCTGAGGTACTTACTTATCATCAAATAGAAATAAAACAGGAGTTCCCGAAAGAAGGATGGGTAGAGCAAGACCCAAAGGAAATCCTGCAATCTGTGTACGACTGTATAGAGAAAACATGTGAGAAACTTGGACAGCAGAGCATTGCTGCTTCCAACATAAAAGCTATTGGTGTCACCAATCAGCGAGAAACTACTGTAGTCTGGGACAAGTTAACCGGAGAACCTCTCTACAACGCGGTGGTGTGGCTTGACCTAAGGACCCAGTCCACTGTCGAGAGTCTTAGCAAAAGCATTTCAGTAAGCAATAACTTTGTCAAGACCAAGACAGGCCTCCCAATCAGCACTTACTTCAGTGCAGTGAAACTTCACTGGCTCATTAGCAATGTGAGGAAAGTGCAAAAGGCTATCGAAGACAGCAGAGCTCTCTTTGGGACGATTGACTCGTGGCTTATCTGGAATATGACTGGAGGCATCAACGGAGGTGTCCACTGTACCGATGTTACTAACGCAAGCAGGACCATGCTTTTCAATATCCATTCTTTGCAATGGGATGAAGAGCTCTGCAGCTTTTTCGGAATTCCAATGAGCATCCTTCCCAGAATCCGGAGTTCTTCTGAGATCTATGGCCTAATGAAAACAGGTGCCTTGGAAGGTGTGCCAATATCTGGGTGTCTGGGGGACCAGTCTGCTGCTTTGGTGGGACAAATGTGCCTCCAGGATGGACAGGCCAAAAACACATATGGAACAGGCTGTTTCTTACTATGTAACACAGGCCAAAAGTGTGTAACTTCTGAACACGGCCTTCTGACCACAGTGGCTTACAAGCTTGGCAGAGAAGAACCCGTCTATTACGCACTGGAAGGTTCTGTAGCTATAGCTGGTGCTGTTGTTAGCTGGCTAAAAGACAATCTTCAAATTATTAAGGCATCAAAGGAAATTGAAAAACTTGCTGAAAAAGTAGGCACTTCTTATGGCTGCTACTTTGTTCCAGCTTTTTCCGGGTTGTACGCACCGTATTGGGACCCCAGCGCAAGAGGGATCATCTGTGGACTCACTCAGTTCACCAATAAATGCCATATTGCATTTGCTGCATTAGAAGCTGTTTGTTTCCAAGCACGAGAAATTTTAGATGCCATGAATCGTGACTGTGGAATCCCACTGAAACATTTGCAGGTGGATGGAGGAATGACCGAAAACAAAATTCTTATGCAACTGCAAGCAGACATTCTGTGCATTCCGGTGATGAAACCTGCCATGCCAGAGACGACTGCCCTGGGAGCCGCCATGGCAGCAGGGGCAGCAGAAGGAGTTAGGGTGTGGAGTCTGGATCCCAAGGACTTATCAGTTGTCCAAATGGAGAAGTTTGAACCTCAAATCAACGCTGAGGAGAGTGAAGTTCGTTATTCCAAATGGAAGCAAGCTGTGAGGAAGTCCATGGGTTGGGTTATGACTGAAACTAGTGACCCCAGTATCTTCGGTAGTCTGACTCTGGGCTTTTATATAGTGAGTAGCATGATGATATTAATTGGAGCAAGGTACATCTAAGGTGTCCCACAAGTCATGCCTCCTTGTGGATTCCCCAGTTGAGAGTTTTTTACATAATGAGAGAATACAGCAGTTGTCTCAATGTGATGCCACCATTCAGACTCTGAATTTGTTCATGTGCCCCTTGTTGCATGTATCTCAAAGAAGACCCATGGTGTGAAATAAAGAATAGCAGCAGAAAAAGAAATGCTACAGAAATATTAGCTTCTTTTCCCTTTTTTATTTGCTTTAATTTTTTTAAAATTTAGAAACAATCATTTTACATATGAATCCCCCATTCCCTCTCCTTCCCATCCTCTCATGACCCCTACCAACCCACCCAAACCCACCCCTCACCTACTCCCCCAGGATAGTGAGGCCTTCCATGGGGGATCATCAAAGTCTGTCATATCATTTGGGGGAGGGTCTAGGCCCTCCTCCATGTATCTGGGCTGCAAGAGTATACCTCCATGGGGAATGGGCTCCCAAAGTACATTTGTGCACTAGGGATAAACACTACTTCCACTGTTAGAGGTCTCATAGACTGCCCAGGCCTCCTAACTGGCACCCATATTCAGAGGGTTTGGTTTGGTCCAATGCTGTTCCCCAGCATGGTCTTAACTCCTTTGCTCATCCCTCCTCCCTCTCTACAACTGCTTTCTGAGGGTATGGCTCAGTGCTTAGCTGTGGGTTCCTGCTTCTGCTTCCATCAGTTACTGGATGAAGGTTCTAGAATGGCATTTAAGGTAGTCATCAATCTCATTATAGGGGAAGGGTACCAAAGGTTACCACTACAGCCTGCCTAGATTGTTCATTGGGGTCATCTTTGTGGATCTCTGAACATTTCCCTAGTGCCAGATTTCTCTTTAAACCTATAATGGCTCCCTCTATTAAGGTATCTCTTTTCTTGCTCTCCTCTATTCCTCCCCTGACTCAGTCTTCCTGATCCCTCTTGCTCTTCTCCCCTTCTCTTTTTCCTACCTGCCCCTCCCCCATGCTCCCAATATGCTCAGGAGTTCTTGTCCCTTTCCCCTTCTTCGGAGAACCATGTATTTCTCTCTTAGGGTCTTCCTTGTTTCCTAGTTTCTCTAGTGGTATGGATTGTAGGCTGGTAGCCCTTTGCTCAGTGTCTAATATTCATATATGAATGGGCACATACCATGCTTGTCTTTCTGTGACTGGGTTACCTCAGTCATGGTAGTTTCTTCCAGTTCCATTCACTTGCCTATGAATTTCAAGATTTTATTTGTTTTTTTCCCCACTGAGAAATACTTCGTTGTGTAAATGTACCACATTTTCTCCATCCGTTCTTCATTTGAGGGGCATCTAGGTCGCTTCCACTTCCTGTCTATTACAAACAATGCTGCTATGAACATAGTTGATCATATAACCTTGCTGTATGAATGTTCATCCTTTGGTTATATGCCCAAAAGTGGGATTGCTGAATCTTGAGGGAGACTGATTCCCATTTTTCTGAGAACCCGCCATACTGATTTCCAAAGTGGCCAAACATGTTTGCACTCCTACCAGCAATGGAGGAGTGTTCCCCTTAATCTACATCCTCTCCAGCATAAACTGTCATTGATGTTTTCTATTTTAGCCATTCTGGTCAGTGTAAGGTGATATCTTAGAGTTGTTTTGAGTTGCATTTCCCTGATGGCTAATGATGTTGAGCACTTTAAGTGTCTTTCAGCCATTTTGGATTCCTCTATTGAGAATTCTCTGTTTAGTTCTGTACCCCACTTTTTAAATTGGATTATTTGGTGTTTTGGTGACTAGCTTCTTGAGTTCTTTGTATATTTTGGAGATGAGACCTCTGTCAGATGTGGGATTTGTGAAGACCTTTTCCCATTCTGTGTCTGCCTTCCCATTCTGTTTTGTCCTGTTGACTGTGTCCTTTGCCTTACAGAAGCTTCTCAGTTTCAGGAGGTCCCATTTATTAATTGTCGATCCCAGGGTCTGTGCTAAAGGAGTTATGTTCATGAAGTGATCTCCTGTACCAATTTGTTCAAGGGTACCTCCCTCCCACTTTCTCATCTAAGAGGTTCAGTGTGGCTGGATGAATCTTGAGGTCTTTGATCCATTTGGAATTAAGTTTTGTGCATGGTGATAGATAAGGGTCTATCTGCAGTATTCTACATGTCAGCATCCAGTTATGCTAGCACCATTTGATACTCTTCAAACTCTTCCACACAAAAGCAGAAGTGTCATTGCCAAACTCTTTTTATGAGTCTACAATTACATTGGTACCCAAGCTACACAAAGACACAATTAAGAAAGAGAACTACAGACCAATTTCCCTCATGAACATTGATGCAAAAATACTCAATAAACACTGACAAATAGACTCCAAGAACACATCAGAAAAATCATACACCATGATCAGGTAGGCTTCATTCCTGGGATGCAGGGATCGTTCAATATATGAAAATCCATCAATGTAATCCACCATATAAACAATATGAAAAAGAAAACCCACATGATTATCTCACTAGATGCAGGAAAAGCCTTTGACAAAATCCAACACCCTTCATGATAAAGGTCTTGGAGAGATCAGGGATAACAGGAACATACCTGAACATAATAACAGCAATATACAGCAAACCAACAGACAACATCAAACTAAATGGAGAGAAACTCAATGTGATTCCTCTAAAATCAGGAACAAGACAAGGCTGTCCACTCTCTCCATATCTCTTCAATATTGTACTTGGAGTTCTAGCTAGAGCAATGAGACAACAAAAGGAGATCAAGGGGATACAAATTGGAAAAGAAGAAGTCAAACTTTCACTATTTGCAGATGACATGATAGTTTACAGAAATGACCTGAAAAATTCTACCAGGGAACTCCTACAGCTAATAAACAGCTTCAGAAAAGTGGCAGGATACAAGATTAACTCAAAAAAATCAGTAGCCTATTTATAATCAGATGATAAATGGGCTGAGAAAGAATCAGAAAAACAGCACCCTTTACAATAGTCACAAACAACATAAAATATCTTGGGGTAATGATACCCAAACAAGGAAAAGATCTGTAGAGTCTTTAAAGAAAGAAATTAAAGAAGATACCAGAAAATGGAAAGATTTCCCATGCTCTTGGATAGCTAGGATCAACATAGTGCTGGAATTAAAGGCATGCGCCACCACCAACCTGCTAGGATTAACATAGTAAAAATGCCAATCTTACCAAAAGCAATCTACAGATTCAATGAAATCCCTATCAACATACCAGCACAATTCTTCACAGACCTTGAACGAACAATACTCAAATTTATGTGGAAAAACAAAAAAATCCAGTATAGCCAAAACAAGGAACT